TCCTGATTTCCTTTTGTGGGCTGACCACACAGTGCATTTGCTGTCCTGAAATTGAAAGTATTGTTGTCAGTCATGCCCAGCTCTGCTTTTGCTGATTTACAAAGCCCCTCCCCCATCTCCTCATCTCCATAACATATGGGGAGGTGTTCTGTGGTTGACTGAGAGAACTGGGAGGGCTGATTAGACTCCTGGAGATAGCACAGGAAGTGTGCACAGGACAGCTTAGGATTTCTGGCAGGATCAACAGGTATTTTTTGCACTTGTCGAACAGATATAACAAGATGCTTTCAATGGTATATTTACCAGACCAGAAGGGAGCAGATAAGAGACTTTCATTGTTTGTATTTAAATACACTTTAACTGAACATCTCCAAAGTATGAAAAAGAGATCAGGGACTTATGTGTTCAGAAACGGATTGCATGATCTAGTAATACCCAAGTCTGTTTGTTTTTTTGGAAGGGGGGGGCAGTCTGAAATGAAGATAGGAGCTGTTTGTGTTGCCCTTCCAGCCAATCAGATTCTCCCTTGAATCTTTCATGTATCAAAAGGAAGCATCTAATTGGTTGCCATGAGTAGGACCTGAAAGTATCAAAATGTTTTATTAATAATAAAGATATTACATACATATATACTGTATATTACCGTATGATAAAACGTTATATGATGATATCAATTGAATCAGAAAGTCTCACAGCCAGTCTTGTTTTTCTGAGGCAGGTATGTGACCATGAACTGAAATGCCATTGTGAGGAAGGCTGGGCAGCCCCCAACTGTGACACCCGTGCCAGTCAAGTAGGTAAGTAACAGAAGTCAGACCTGAATCTTGCATGTATAGCCTGAACTTTCCTAGAGAACCCCAACTTATCATCAGGTTTGTTGTGAAATACATTCAACATGCCTTTGATTTTGGGCTGGGAGGGGGGCGGGGTGGAGTCTGTTAAGCTTTCAGTAAGGAAGCTAAAAAAAAACACCTTCCGTGAGAATGGAAGATCCATTTGCCTAAAAGCCCTCCACCACCCAAAGACATGAGCTGTACATAAAACTTTAACTATAACAATTTCACAAGAAATAAGACAAGAAAGGACTCCCCCCAGTTTTGGCTTACAGGAGATGCAGGTGACTCCTGGCCACTTGAAAATCCTTTAGTAGACCAGCCCTAATGTCACATTACACTTTACTAGATTGATCCCGTAGTGATTCCAGAGCAGGCTATTTATAGTGCCAGTGGGCTCATGTACACATTGGGGTCTGTTTATAAACAATTCACCCTACAAATATTTGTGAACATTTGTTTTGGGTAAATCATGCCAAAAATGAATGTTCTTAACATATTTTTCCCCCAGATTGAATGTAATGGTATATTATGACCACTAGATGGAGCCGAGGAGCATAGGAAATAAATGCTTATTGCCTATGCTCCTCAGCTCCATCTGTTGGCCGTAATATATTATTACAACACACTGAATTCAAACTAATAAGAAGCTCCATCTAGTGGCCATAATGTAAAATTTAAAAATATATTAAATACATTTGTTTTTTGGCACTATTTGCCCAACTCAAACTGTGTCAGGTGTCTGAAGGGCCCCACAATTGTTTATAAATAGACTCCATAGAGTGCTTTTACTCAGATGCACCATATATCCCATCTTATAGATGGTCTTGTTTTGTATCATGATCAGTCACACATTCCCCACATGTCAGTAGATGAATGACTGTTCATATTATCCAATTAATATCTATTTGCTAAGGATACCTTTTCTTTCCCAAACTAGATGGATGGTTTTGAGTAAAGTTCTCCCTGAAATGTGATTTCTTTGTCTCCACAGGAACTGGCTACATTGTGCTCATTGTCATCGTTATTTTAGTCATTGTGTTCATTATAGCGATTGTGCTACACATGAGATCCCGGAAGAGGAAGGAGAGGTATGGTTGGTGGATTAACATACTTGTGTGTTCATGTATTTGTATGAGAGAGAGAGAGACGGAGAGAGATAGAGACACAAAGAGAGAGAGAGAGAGAGAGACACGGGGAGAGAGAGAGACGGAGAGAGATAGAGAGAGAGAGAGACACAGGTAGAGAGAGAGACGGAGAGAGAGAGACACGGAGAGAGATAGAGAGAGAGAGACACAGGTAGAGAGAGAGACGGAGAGAGAGAGACACGGAGAGAGATAGAGAGAGAGAGACACAGGTAGAGAGAGAGACGGAGAGAGAGAGACACGGAGAGAGATAGAGAGAGAGAGACACAGGTAGAGAGAGAGACGGAGAGAGAGAGACACGGAGAGAGATAGAGAGAGAGAGACACAGGTAGAGAGAGAGACGGAGAGAGAGAGACACGGAGAGAGATAGAGACAGAGAGAAAGAGAGAGAGACATGGAGAGAGAGAGAGACATGGGGAGAGAGAGACAGGGAGAGAGAGAGAAACAGAGAGAGAGAGAAACAGAGCGAGAGAGACACAGAGAGAGAGAGACGGGGAGAGAGACAGGGAGAGAGAGAGACAGGGAGAGATAGAGAAAGAGAGATCGATATA